GAATCCTCGTCCCTGAGGCTGCTCATGGCCAGCGTCACCGAGCTCTGCCCGTTGTCCCTCGAGATCCTGAACCGGCCCTTGAACGACGGCGCGTACTCGGTGTAACCACCATTGCTGTAGATCCTTGCAACCCACTCCAGCCCCTGCCCGGGTCTCTGTCGGACCCATTCCATTTGGTAATTCCCGAAATCAAACCCGGATCCTCGGCAGACCAAGGTCAGGGACCCGCCGGGGGGCTGGAGGTCCCCCCCGGACTCCAGCAGGGTCACGGCCGCCCGGAGCCCTGCGGGAACCAGGGGAGATGAATATTAATGAGATGGCAATGAGGAGGGTGTGAGTATGTAAATGAGGAGGGCGGTGTCATGGTTTGACACCGGCACGACGCCGGCGCCCCCGTGCCAATGTGATCCGTCCCTTGGACGCTGTGAAGTGGAATCCAGGACAGAGCAAAGCAGGCCCGAGCTTAATAACACGGAAAAAATAAATCTTTATTACTCTACCACGGCGCGTCCCCGCCCCAGATCCTCCTGCGGGGCGAGTAGGGCGAGTGGAAATTTAATTCCCCCAAATTGGCCCCAAATTCTCCCAGATTTGCCCCAAAATTCCCACAAATTGGACCCAAATAACCCAGGAATGGCCCCAAATTTAATTCCCCTGGATTTGCCCCAAATTCCCCCAAATTGGCCCCAAAATCCCCCAAGTTTGCCCCCAAATTCCCACAAATTGGACCCAAATAATCCAGGAATGGTCCCAAATTTAATTTCCCTGGATTTGCCCGAAATTCCACCAAATTGGCCCCAAAATCCCCCAAGTTTGCCCCAAATTCCACCAAATTGGACCCAAATAACCCAGGAATGGCCCCAAATTTAATTCCCCTGGATTTGCCCTAAAATCACCCAAATTGGCCCCAAAATCCCCCAAGTTTGCCCCAAAATCCCCTTGATTGGACCCAAATAACCCAGGAATGGCCCCAAATTTAATCCCCCTGCATTGGCACCAAATTCCACTGGATTTGCCCCAAATTCCACCAAATTGGCCCCAAAATCCCCCAAGTTTGCCCCAAAATTCCCACAAATTGGACCCAAATAACCCAGGAATGGCCCCAAATTTAATTCCCCTGGATTTGCCCCAAATTCCACCAAATTGGCCCCAAAATCCCCCAAATTTGCCCCAAAATTCCCACAAATTGGACCCAAATAACCCAGGAATGGTCCCAAATTTAATTTCCCTGGATTTGCTCCAAATTCCACCAAATTGGACCCAAAATCCTCCAAGTTTGCCCCAAAATCCCCAGGATTGGACCCAAATAACCCAGGAATGGCCCCAAATTTAATTTCCCTGGATTTGCCCCAAATTCCACCAAATTGGCCCCAAAAAAATCCCCCAAGTTTGCCCCAAAATTCCCACAAATTTGCCCCAAATTTAATTCCCAGAATTGGCGCCATATTCCCCCAAATTGGCCCCAAATTCCCCCAAATTGGCCCCAAAATTCCCAGGATTGACCCCCAATTCTCCTGGATTTGCCCCAAATTTCTCCAAATTAGCCCCAAATTCCCTGGGAATGACCCAAAATTTAATTCCCCCAAATTGGCCCCAAATTTCCCCAAATTTGCCCCAAATTCCTCAGGAATGTCCCCAAATTTAATTCCCCTGGATTTGCCCCAAATTCCCCCAAATTTTCCCCAAATCTCCCCCCGAATTTCCCGGCATCCCAAAATTCCTCAAACCCCGCAATTAACCCCAAACCCGCTCATTAATTAACCGGATAAATCCCAATTAACGTCTCATTAACGACCCCCAAAACCCCCTGGGAGGGACCCCGACCCCTGAACGGGTTTTTCCCAAATCTCCCGAATTTTCCCCCAAATTCCCAACTCTCACTCCCTGATTTTCACCGTTTTTTGGGAATTTTTGGGGCAAACCCTCAGGATTTTGGGGCCAATTTGGGGGAATTTGGGGCCATTCCTGGGAATTTTGGGGTCAATTTGGGGGAATTTGGGGCCAATTTGGGGGAATTTGGGGCCAATCCAGGGGAATTAAATTTGGGGATAATTTGGCAAAATTTGGGGGAATTTGGGGCAAATCTGGGAGAATTTGGGGCCAATTTGGGGGAAATTTGGGCCAATCCAGGGGAATTAAATTTGGGGAAAGTTTGGCAAAATTTGGGGGAATTTGGGGTTAATTTGGGGGAATTTGGGGCCAATCCAGGGAATTAAATTTGGGGAAAATTTGGCAAAATTTGGGGCAAATCCATGGGAATTAAATTTGGGGCAAATTTGAGGAAATTTGGGGCCAATTTGGGAGAATTCGCGGCCATTCCCGGGTCGCTGATTTTGGGGCAAATCTCAGAGATTTTGGCTCCAAATCCGCAAAAATTTGGGGCAAAACCTCCCAAAATTCGGGCACCAATCGCGGCCTCGCCTCTCAAATTTCACTTTTTTCACCCAAATCTCCGCGCTTTTACCCCAAAATTCGCATTTTTGGCCCCAAATTCGCGGCCCCGGCCGGTCCCGCTCCCAAATTTCCGATTTTTTCCCCGATTTGCCCCAAAATTGCCCAAATTTCGCTCTCGCGGCGCCCCCTGGCGGCCGAGTTTGGATTTTCCCGCCCCAAAAGCGGCGGCGGTGACGTCACCAAATGAGTAATTAATAGCAATTAATTAATTCCGCCCCGTTATTTCTTTATTTAATCGGGGTTTCTTTCCCCCCTGATTTAATCGCTTTTTAATCCATTAATTGCTTAATTGGCCGCCCGCTCACCTAATTAATGAGTTGGTTGATTAATTAATTAATTAATTAGGGTGGCCGTTCGTTAATTAATTATTTAGATTTGGCCGCTAGTGGATTTTTAATTAAATAAATTATTACATGAAGTTTTAAATAAAGTTTTAAATAATGGTCCTTTATAAATCAAATAATTAATTACCCGTAATTAATTAAGTATTTTTATTAGCCAATTAATTAATTGCATTCCTTTGATTAACCCCGATTAATTAATTAATCGGACCCCCCGTGATCGATCCTAATTAACCCCTCGTTAATTAATTAATTACGCCCGTGATTATCCCCTATTATCATTAATTAATTAGGCTCCTTGATCCCAATTAATTAATTAACATATGGGATGCCCGTGATTAACGCCGATTAATTAATTAATTAATTAAACGGATGCCTGTTATTAACACTGAGCCACTAATTAATTACTTGGACAAATTGCCATTAATTACTAAATAAATAAATTCATTAGATGCCTGCAATTAACACCTGGCCCATTAATTAATTAATTGGACTCTGGCAATTAACTGGGAACTATTAATGAATGGAATGGATGCCCACAATAGTAATTAATTAATTTAATCGGCTCTATTAATTAATGAACTGGACTCTTGCCCTTAACCGAGATAAAATAATTAATGAACCAGAAATTAATTGGGCCCTATTAATTAATTAAATGGACACTTGCAATTAATTCAGACCCATTAATTAATGAAATGGACTCTTGTAATTAACTGGGACCTATTAATTAACGAACCTGGGACCTTTTAATTAATGAACTGGACTCTTGCCCTTAACCGAGATAAAATAATTAATGAACCAGAAATTAATTGGGCCCTATTAATTAATTAAATGGACACTTGCAATTAATTCAGACCCATTAATTAATGAAATGGACTCTTGTAATTAACTGGGACCTATTAATTAACGAACCTGGGACCTTTTAATTAATGAACTGGACTCTTGTAATTAACCGAGACCCATTAATTAATGAACCTGCAATTAACTGGGACCCATTAATTAACAAATTGAATGCCTGTAATTAACCATGCCCTATTAATTAAGCCAATTAATTAACCCCTGAAATTACCCAAACCCCATTAATTAATGAACCGGACTCTTGCAATTAACCCAGATCCATTAATTAATGAACTGGCAATTAACTAGGACCCATTAATTAACAAACCAAACCCCTCCAATTACCCAAAACCCATTAATTAAACATCTGCCATTAACCGAGGCCCATTAATTAACCCCCTCCAATTACCCAAACCCCATTAATTAACTCCTTCCAATTACCCAAAACCATTAATTAACCCACTCCAATTACCCAAAACTCATTAATTAAGCATCTGCCATTAGCCGAGGCCCATTAATTAACAAACTGGACTCTTGCAATTAACTGGGCCCCATTAATTAAACCCCTGTAATTAACCGAGACCCATTAAACTACTCCAATTAACTGAGACCCATTAATTAACAAAGTGGACTCTTGCAATTAACCGAGACCCATTAATTAAACCCCTTGTAATTAACTGTGCCCCATTAATTAAACCCCTGCAATTAACTGAAACCCATTAATTAAATTACTCCAATTAACCCAGACCCATTAATTAACAAACCGAAACCCTCCAATGGCCCAAAACCCATTAATTAACCCCCTCCAATTAACCCTTTTCCCGCCAAAACCCCCAAAAAAGGGGCGTGTCCCCCCAAAATTACCGTATTTCCCCGAAAAAAATGCCCCCCCAAATTACCGTATTTCCCCAAAAAATGCCCCCCAAAATTACCGTATTTCCCCAAAAAATGCCCCCCAAAAAATTACCGTATTTCCCAAAAAAAGTGTCCCCCCAAAATTTACCGTATTTCCCAAAAAAGTGGGCGTGTCCTCCCAAAAAATTACCGTATTCTCCCCCAAAAATTACCATATTTACCAAAAATCACCGTATTTCCCAAAAAAATTACCATATTCCCCCAAAAATCACTGTATTCCCCCCAAAAGTGGGCGCGTCCCCCCAAAATTACCATATTTCCCCAAAAAATCACAGTATCGCCCCAAAAATGGGCGTGTCCCCCAAAAAATTACCGTATCTCCCAAAAATTACCGCATTTCCCAAAAAATTATTGTATTTCCTAAAAAATTACCATCTACTCCACAAAAATTACCACATCCCCCCCAAAAATGAAAGTATTCCCCAAAAAATGTGGGCGTGTCCCCGGAAATCAATGTATCCCACCAAAAATGGGCGTGTCCCCCCAAAAAATCACAGTATCTCCCAAAAAATCACCATATTTCCCAAAAAATTATTGTATTCCACAAAAAATTACCATATTTCCCCAAAAAACACCATATACTCCAAAAAAATGAAAGTATTCCCCAAAAAGTGGGCGTGTCCCCCCAAAAATCACAGTATCCCCCCAAAAATGGGCGTGTCCCCCAAAAAAT